TAGCGCCGGAAGATCACTTAACCTGACATTGCTAAGGATCCTGCCTTTGCCTGAATATGATTTTTTTTTTTTTTTTCCCTTCCCGTGAGTTCCATCGCATCACTCCAATCATGCTTTACCTCTCTGGAAGTTATGTCCTTACAGCAGAAGGCATCGATCTTGCAGAGTCACTGCAGTCATAGCTTAAGACTGGAAGCCCACTGCTGACGGCGAAGGAAACCAGAAAGCCCTCGTTTGCTCCACCGCTCCCTCCCCGCCCAAGGACACCGCACCGCAGCCCCGGGACACGGGTCGCGGCCAAGGAACCCGGCCCCAGCACAACTCACCGCGCCTGCCCTCGGCGGGCCCGCACCGACCCCGCCGCAGGTACCGGGACCCGCCGGGGAGGAAGCCCGAAGGAAGACGAGCCCGTCCCGCAGCTCCCGAAGGAGGGGCGGGCCAAGGCGGGCGCTCAGGCGCGGTGCGCACCCGCGAGTGCGGGAGAGCCGCAGCCAGCCCGCGCCATCCCGGTCCCAGCCTTTCCCCCGTGAAAACGCACACGGACGGGCGAGCGGACTGACGGGAGGACGGGCCCCCCCCCCACTCCCGCCGCCCCGGCCCAATGCCCGCCCGGCGCCGCGGCCGCCCCCCAGCGGCGGGAGGGAGCTGCGGCAGCGGCGTGAGGGGGCGGGCTCCGCGCCCCGCGGCTGTGCGCGGAGTTTGTCCTCATCCGTGTTCTGGGCATGTTTCATCTAGAGAAGACTGAGAGGGGGTCTCATCAATACTTTTAAATATCTCAAAGGCGAGTGCCGAGAGGATGGTGCCAGAGTTTTGGTGGTGCCCCGCGCCAGGACGGCGAGCGAAGGCCGTGAACTAACACACAAGGTCCACCTCAACATGAAGTTCTTCGCGTTGAGGGTGGCAAAGCACTGGAATAGGTTGCACAGGGAGGTCGTGGAGTCTCCTGCTCTGGTGACATTCAAAATCCACCTGGACACATTCCTGGGTCACCTGCTCTAGGTGACCCTGCCTGGCCAGGGGTGGACTAGGGAATCTCCAGAGGTCCCTTCCAACCCTAAGGATTCTGTGATTGTCCAGCTGGGGTGGTATATAACCCCCACTGCCCACCGTGATAATCGCCTAAATAAAATTCATTGTGAGTGCAGGACTGTGCTAGAGAGTCACCCCAGGCTCTTCCTGCAAGGTGCTGTTTAAAGGAAGCTGGTGTCCGTTAAGGAAAGGTGAACATGAGGGCAAAGTAAAGAACACGTTCAACAGCTGCGGAGGTGACAGCATTCAGAAGTACCTGTTGGTCACCTTATCTGGATCCCTTCAGCGTGCGCCTCCCTCCCTCCCTCCCTCCCACATGGCTTCTCCTTGCTTCCAGCCTGCGTATTCTGCATGGGTTAGCTGCAGGAAAAATCAGCATTTAAATGCAATGCTGTTCTAGAAAAAGGGACAATGATACATCAGAGTGGTTAGTGGTCTAGACCTAAATATACAGACAAAACTCCTGGCAGGTGTTATGTCAGCTGATGAATCTGAGATGTGTGATAAAAACTATATGACAAAACAATATCCAGCACAGTGTCTCTTTTCAGTGGCATATGAAAATCACACCTTAAAAGTGTTTATATAGTCCTTTCATTTTGGGTAGTAATACTCTTGGTATCATTTCAAGGGGTAGATAAAAGCCCAGGATTGCAGGTATGTTGAAGTGTTCTGTATTATTTGTCAAAATAATAATAAATTTTTAAAACCCACCAGAATTAGATTGCTGCTGCAATGTTATTTCATTCTCCTGCCAATCATTATCTGTAGACGCTCCTTTCAAATTTAATTTGCATAGCTATTGCTCCGTCCTTTTTAAATATGTATTAAGAACTTCCTCTCCTAATATGTTTAAACTGCTAAATGGTAATGGCTAGAGAACAGCACACTAATCAATATGCTGTGAGATTAGCATAGCTTCTGCTTCCTTGCTTAAGTAGTTAATCCTATAATCTGTATATGCAGATAAGAATACATGCAACTTTATACTTGCTTTACTGCCACTCCTATTTTTCCCTCTTCCTTTTCCCTTACCAGTTGTTTATACCCTTTCCCTTTAGGGAATGGGCCTGATCTGGGCCTATCTTTCCCCCCAAAGTGTATTTTTTTCCAAATACTCTATACTTACTACTGCATTAAAGCTAACACTGTATTAAAGCAGTGTATTAATATTCCTTGAAAAACCTCTATAAGGCATGCTTGAAAAACATGTAATTATGTCATGTTAGTGTATCCTTTAGGCCATCCCTAGGTGTTTTCTGTGTTCAAACCATCTTCCATTTAGGAGAGGCACTCCCAATGACCCGGATCAACCTGGGAGTCTTACTAATAAATAGTGAAAGCTGAAATATAATATAAAATAATAACTGTCTTTATGGTCCAGGGAACTACAGGTGAAGTCATTGTAGAGTGAGGTCATTGTAAAGAACAATGAAGGCAGATAAGTTACAGGAAAAAAATGGTGAATGGTGTAGTTTTCAATTCAAAATGTAAAATTGATTAGACTTTTGAAAAATAGGTACTTGCATCAGCAACTGCCATTTATATTTTAGGTTTAATAGCCAGAACATTTTAGGATAACAGGAATGAAAAAATTCTGCTAGAATAATGCAAATGTCTTGAATGTGTGCATCAGGTCTAGACTAACCCTCAGGAACTCAAATCACAAAGTGGACTGTAGCTAGATTTCATACAGGTACACGTTAACAAAAATTGTGTTCCTGTCCTCTATTCTCCTGAACTTTTCCTCCCTCTGCAGCTTGTTTTTGTTTTGGTTTATTTTTTAGTGTAACCATTATGTATTTTCATTGGGTCCTTCATATTCCATTTTTTTTTCAGTGATCCATTCTGTGGTAGAAGACTGATTGGTATTTTCACCTCAGAATTTAAGCATGTTCTTCCTGCTCATTTCTTTTTGTTCCTGTAGTTAAAATATAGGCAACATCAGACAGGATCAGAATATGCCAGAACAGCATGTGATCTTGCAGTAGAATAAGAACTTTACTAATAATGTTACATTTGAAAAGGGAGATGAATAAATCTATGTACCAGAGCTGAACTGAGTAGAGCTGTTATAAAAGATAGATTATGACATGGATTCAGAATTGTTTTTACATCAGCAGAGGCTAAAACTCAGGCCAGCCTCCTAGGAATGAAAATTTAATTGTAATTAAACAGGAACTGACTAAGGAAATGACTGAAACTATTTAAGTAAGTGACGTGCAAGAAACTTTTACCCAAAACTAAATATTTTGCAGACCTAGATGACAATGAAGACTCATCCTCAATCCTACCTTCTTTACCATTGTGAGATAATTTACTCTTCAATTGATTACTTGTTTCTGAATCACCAAGGAAAAAGAGCAAGGGCTGGCATGTTCCAGCCTTCCATTTACAACAGAGGCACAAAACAACCACCATTTATGCTCCAGGTAGGAAGAAAGAGAAGAAGAGTGTATGTCAAGGCTCTGTTAGAATCTCAAGCTGTGGTGACCACTGGCTACCAGTGTGTGACATCTCCAATGGGACAAAGCACTTGTCGGGAACCCAGTGTTTTCCTGCACTGGCAGAGCAAGTTTAGATGTTTCATCATCTTGGGAAATTTTCTTACTTAAGGAACTGCATGCCTGGTCTCAAATGCCTGCAAGGTATCAGCTGCTGTAGCTATTGGTGCATGCTGGAGGAGGAAGCACCAAAACTGCATAGGATACAGGATCAGGGAAACCTTTCTGAGGTGACTGAGCAGAAAGGATAAAGCTTTTAACAAAACCATGGTTACAAATGCAATTCTCATGATTGCAAGTCAAAATTTAGGCCTTTATTTCATAGAAGCATGCAAGACTGGATCCTGTGACTTTACCTCCACGTGTGTACAATAAAAGCAGCCCCCCAGCCTTGCATATTAAATATCCTCTTGCCATAACACAGCACCCCCGATGGCACAGACCCACACAAATTCATATAAATGTTCTTCCTCGCACCGCGGGAGCACAGAGAATGTGCTGGGGAGGTGGAAGATAAGGCGACCCAGGAGCAAGGCTGATTTCTCCCGGTGTGAAGGAGCAGTCCTGGTAGCCGAGAGGAGAAGGCTTTGTGCTGCAGAGGCAGCAGGGCTGCGGCGCTGCCCCGCGTTGTCTCAAATAAGTTCCTTTCAGCCGGTGTGCAGGAGGCCAGTCCACACACAGCGTTTGGTTTACGGACAGCTCTGCGCAGAAAGGGGTGCTGTGGGAAATCCACAAAGCCTTCACGACGACTCCCAAAACTTTTCGCTACTATACATTTTAGCAACAAAGACGCTAATGTTCATTGGCTACAAGTTACCTCGTTCTCTTACTAGTTAGTATTCTGTCTTCTATTGGGTAATTATTCTCTCGCTTCTCATGCTAATTGGCCCGCATGCTCAGTCTTTCTCTTCTTTTGGGTCGGTGGGTTTGTTGAGTCGGTCACACATCTCCCCCTGCCGGAATTACGTTTTTCCCGGTCAGCTGCTTCCGCACATCGTCAAGTTGTCTTTAGCAGTTTCTTCCTTATCATGGGAGTTCTCCCGTGAATTCTGCCTTCTTTGTGTCCACTATCAGTGGTAACGCCTTCTTCCCAGGCTTTGTTAACTTTCCCCTAGGTCGGATATCACTGAAACATGTCCAGCCCTGAACATTGACAAGGCAATTCCACCGACAGCTAATTTGTCTTTTTAACGCCGGGACATCACTCAGCGCTTGCTTGACAGCTGCCTGTTTCAGGGATTAAATCTCTCTTCTTACTCATTAGGCTTGAAAGCTCACAAATATCAGACATCAAAGAACATCCTTTCTTAAGACGATTTGTTTACATATTCCGCATTTCGGCAGCAACATCCGCACACCTGGTGGGCCGGGGCGGGTCTGGGGACAGCGCGCTCGCTCCCGCGCTGGCGGGGGCGCGCATGCGCGGCGGGTCTCCCCGCAGCGCTCGTCGCCTCCTTTGTGAGGGGCGGGCGCGGCCCCGCCCCGAGCGCGGTGCCGGGCGCAGACGGAGCGGCCGCGGCGGCGCCATTTTGCGGCGGTGCGGGAGGCGCGGGCGGGAGGTGGCTGTGGCGATAGTGCCGGCAGTAGCGGTAATAGCGGTAACGGTGGCGATAACAGCGGCCGTGGGTGTTATTGCTGCTAATCGGGACTAGCGTCCCCCTTTCGCCCCAGCCCCTTGGCCAGGACTCTGCCGACATGAGCGACGTGGAGGAGAACAACTTCGAGGGAAGGGTGAGTGGCCTCCCCTGCGCGGGCCGTGTCGAGGGGGGGATCGGACCCGGGGGCGGCGGGTGGCGACACTCGGCGTCCTCGGGCCTGGTGGGGGTGGGGGCAGCGCAGCTTGGCTCTAAAATGGCTCCTTCAGGCGCCCGAGGCTTGCCTGGGCCGTGGGTGACGACCCGCGTCCCTCTCCGCTGCCCGCGTCTCTCCTCACACGCTCCCTGCTCCCATGGTCCCGGCGGGGTGCGGGCGCCGGGTCCCGGTGCTGCGGCCCGGCCCCTGCCCAGCCAGCGCGGGCTGATCCTGTGCAAACAGCGCTGCTGTAGCCCCGGGGTTCCCCCCGCTGCTCCGTTCCCTTCCCGCGGTCCCCAGCCGCCTGGTTGCCGCCGGGCCCGGGGGTCGCTGTCCTGCCCGTTCCCGCTCCCCCGGCCGGGCCGCCGAGGCCTCCTCCCGCCCGAGAGTGGAGGGACCCCGCGCCCTTTTGTGCGAGGTGAGCGGTCTGTCCTGGCTCGGGAGCCCCCTCCCGCCACTGGGGAGGTCCGGCCGTCGTTATTAAACCATTGAAAGTCATCGATCGTGAAGCTGAAGGCTTCGAACGAGCTGCTGTGGCTTTGTAACCTCGTTAGGCCTGTGTCTTCCCCCTGATGGCTGCGGGTTTTCATGCACACGTGTGACAGGTCCCTTCCATTTTCAGTGTTTTTGTGGCTTTGGTTTTGTGGCGGTTTTTTTTGTTTTTTTGGGGTTTTTTTTTGTTTGTTAGTGATGATCAAGTCAAGCAGGAATTAGAAGCTGCTTGAAACAGGAACGAAATGTGTGCTCCTCCCTCACAATTTACTTTTTTTTTTTTTTAATTTTGCAGAGGTTTTCTTTTTGTTTGTTCTTTTAAGAAATTCTTTAGAAGAACACCTGAGCATCCTCTTGGTGACTCTCTGTGATGGTCCAGTGACAGCAGCCTTGCAGTTACATATGTAGCTACTGTCTGGGGAAACGAGCAATAAAATCTTGGAAGAACGGCATTACCTTCCACAAATTACTTTTGCATTACTATTGTTGCCATTTTTGTGGTGATTAAAACAAAAAAATCCATAGGCTGCAAGTTCTTTACTTAGGTATGCAATAAGTGCTGCTGCTTGTTCGCAAGGTAAAACCCTGCCCCTGTATGTTGATTGCTTGGACAAAAGGTGGCTGTGTAGCTAAGTAGTATTGGGTAAATAAACAGATCTTTGAAAGGGAAACAGCTAAGTTTCAGAAACTTGAGCAATGAGTATGCTTGGTTGGTTTTTTCTCTTTTTTATGATGACAGTAATCTCCCATTTTACAGTCAAGAATTATATCTTTTAGGATTATTTTCTTATCTGTATTCCCAGTATAGGTTATTGTTAGGAAAGAGGTTATGTTAGGTTAGTTGTCAGAACATTGGTGTTGGGCTCTTTGATGGGTCTGTTGTTTATGTTACAAAGCTGTTACAGCTCTGTAATTTCAGCATTTCTGCACACCACCTCCTCCCAAATGTAGAAGTAAAATGTTTTGGGAGAACATGAAGTCTGAAAAGTCGTGCAGTAGCAGTTTCTGTGACTTCTGCTTATCAGTTGGTTTTTTTTTTTTTTTTGGTGTGATGGAAAATTTACCTGTTGGAAAGAACTGATGACTATGTTGAGTCTTCATTTGGAAAACTTCGTTTGTTTTTGCTTGCTACACTGAAAATTCTCAATCAGTATGGCATAGCTGAGCATAATGGCAGGTACTCGATTGATTCCTAGTTGGGGGTTTTGTGGTTCTACTGAAGAACATTTGTAAGCCTTTTCGTTTTTTTTTTCTTCAGTAATGCTGCTTTGTTTTGATGGTACTAACATTCTTGAAAAAAAATTATATTTCAGAGTAATGTTTTATTTTTCATTTCCACTGAAAGTGCTCACAGGCATAAAATTAAGCACGTATAATTTTGGGGCTGTAGTGTTCAGTCTGCTATTCCCAATTGCATAGGACTCTGTCAGGCACTGAGTGTCCTGATGCTTCAGTTTGCTACATCCAGGCACTGAGAGTAAAGCAGAAGTTGTCCCTGGGAGAAAGAACTGCAGAAACTGGAAGAAAGTTTGTAAAGAACCTGTTTTCATGGAATTTGGCACAAATAAGAATTCTGAGTACCCTTTCAATTCTTCCACCCCCTGTCAGTTTAAGTGCTAATTAGTGTGATGTGCTTTTATAAACTGAATGCTGAAAGAGTAAGGGTGTTTTAAGTTTACTTTGAGGCCTTTTACATTTCATCTGTGTAAATGCATATTGTCCCAAAAACACTTTAGTGAAAGTCGAGTATCAGCAGAATTGCTTTAAATGCTAATTTTATCGACAGTAAGATACTGTGTGTGCTTTACTTCTAATTTATTGTTTTTAGATCATATTGACTAACCTGAACAGGCCATTAGTAATGAGGGAAATAAATTTCAATGAAATTTCTTAGTTTGCATTCTTTAAAACTTCTATTTCTAAAGTGTTGGGTGTGAAATCATTGTAGAGCTTTTCCTTCTTAAACTCACTTCTTTATTGACTTTTTATTTTTTAAAGCACATGTTAATCAAATATGCTCAGGCTAATCAACATCTGCTCTGGTTTTGTGCCATTTTGTTTCAACTTAAGCTTAAGTTCTCTGTTAAGAAAGCCCCCTCCTCAAGCATGGTTATTTAATACAAAGAAATTGACAGAGGAATTATTAATACAGTGGATGTGCTAGAGCTAAGTTTATGGACATTAAGAATACAAAAATATTTTAAATTCTGCTTCTTATCCAGTGACTTGGTTTTGGAAACATCAAAGTATTTTATCACTATTGAGTGTTTTTTGTGAGCAGTTAGACAAATGAGGCTTTTTAAATCTTTTATGTCTGTCAGATGGCAGGCAACTCTTACTTCCTTTCGTATTTTTTATTATTTTTTATGGGCTATTGTTTATTTGGTGTTCAATCTGTGGTGCAACTTTAGATGTTTCCCAGAGCAATGAACAGAAGGGAGTCTGAACAAACCTGCACTTCAGTAGATCCACTTGAAACTTTGATCAGTTTTTTTCTGTTGAGCTTCTGGTAACAATTCATTTCTGCAATCTTAACAGTTCAGTCGTTTTCTACCAGTATTAATGTGTTGTTTGTCTAAATAGGCAAAACCTTTTATCAGAACAAAGGTAAAATTCCATTTTACAACTCTGTATTGATTGTCTTCCTTCTAATGAACCAGCAGTATGCAGGATCTTATAGGGGAATAAATAGTGTAATCTAATAATACACTTCAAGAAATGCAGGATTTTGCATGTGGTCCATCCTATTGAAGGAAGCATGCCTATTTTATAGGTACACAAGTGGCTTTTGGGTTAGTTTAGCTGTGAAAGTGCTTTATATTTTCTTCATGAAGTTTGAATGCAAAATACTTAGATACGTATAGAATTACCTAACTGAACAACTTTGAGATGATTTCTTTGGCAAAAAAAAAAACCAAAAAAACCCCAAGGGCTTGTTTGCTATTGTATTCCATCCACCTCTCCTGCAGTGGCACTCTGCCACCTCTATGGAAAGGAAGGAATGTTGCTTCCCACACCTTTTCAAACACAAGCACAATGGACTGCTAATGCTCAGGGGTTCTGCCTTCACTTGGAGAGTGCTGTGGTCACCCTGCGGTGTCTGATGACAATGTGGGAGAGTTTTTCTGGGAGTCCGATTTTTAATTTTTATTGTTTTAATCAAGCTTAATAAATTCTGCATTGTTCTGGACCATGTCAGCTGGGAAAACTGCTCAATTTGAACACAAATTCTTTTTACCGTCTTCCATGTGGGGTAGAGGAATGACTACAGAACCCTCCCTGAAGAGGTGTGTTTTAAGCCTCAGTGAGAAGATTAGCTTGTAATTTCAAGATGTTCACTGCTGAAACCTTTTCTTTCTTTTCATAAGTGGGATCATTGAGAAATATATAAAGTTTGGTTATTTTAGTAACTTTTAAAATATCCAGGTCTTCTAGATAACAACTTAAAAGACGCTTTTTATAATGAAGCTTATTATGTGTACTATTGTCATATTTATAGACGATTACCTAATTAAGGGATCCAATTTTTTTTTTAGTATGGTGACACATCGCAGTATGAAGCAAAAAGGGTTTAACTTCTCTTTTGAGTTTCAAGTAAAGTCGGTAGATCCCTGCCAAAAAGTAATCTTGTCCTCATAAGTGAGATGTTGCTAGCTTAACAGTTCTATCCGGCGAATGTGGGCTGCTGCTAAATTCATGTAGCTTTTTTGACTGCTTATATTTTTTGTCCCCTTTTAATAGAGTTTGACTTAATTTATTTTTCTAGTTTGGGTAGGAATTTTTAATAAGATTTTTGGAAATGGTATTGCTAGACCACTTGTCCTGTCCTTTTTTTTCACTCCAGGTCAAATGAATTTCACCTGAAATTTGTGATTTAATGTTAGGGATTTTTTTTTTTAATTTCCCATGCTTTGCTATAGAAAGCTGAGTTTAAACTTACGTCCTTATTTTTAGTTAGCATCTCACTCTAAATTTTGATAGCCTTTTCAGTCATACTCTGAAATTGTAAGGTGAGAGTTAGGGTGAGGCATGACAAGTTCAGGACAGAAGAGTAGTGTGAAAGAACATGGGATTGTTTTGTTTTGTGTGGTTGGTTTGATAAAGGTGTTGGTTGGTTGGTCAGTTGTTTGTTTTGTTTGTTGTGGATCCCCCCATGTTCTTTATCCTACCTTCTCTTGATGGCTGGAAAATGGAAAGAATGCTTCTTCAAGACTTCTGCAATTCTCCTCTGCATAAAAGTGTTTTAAATGCTTTTAAAATAGTAATTGCATTGGAAAGTAGTATTTCTTTCATAAAATGCAAGGAATTTAAGTGAGAGAACTTTTTGACCAGTTAAACTGTTTTACCAGGATAGATGACATATGTGGACTGACTGATGCCTGGCTCAGATGGATCATCCAAAGTTGCTGATAGTTGTTCAGTGTCTGGGTTTATATGATTGTGGAGTAATGGGGGTGGAGGAGAGATCCTTTCTGTATCACTTCGGTTTGTTACTTCCTGGGATAAAGGACAGTAAGAAGGATTAAAAAATATTCCTCAGAACTCTCTTTAAATGCTTCTAGTTGTGTATTTTATCCAGACAATCAGTAACTGAAGCTGAAACCTTAGATTTATTGTTTGTCTACGATTTTGGCTCCAAGTTGCAATTCGTGGTGAATCATTAGTCCCATTTCCTGGTGTGTGTTTGAGGAAACCACTTACATCTTACTCTAAAGAAGCACACTGTTACAACCGAGTTGGGTTTTTGTAATTGTTATTGGCAGGGGGGAGGGTGTATGGGGTTTTTTGTGGGGGTGGGTTTTTTGGTGTTTTGGGGAGAGGTGTTTCCTGGGAAAAGTGTTATTGGCAAATGCAGGATGTCTTTTGAAAGGGAAGTCTTACCTGAAGAATCTTGAAAAGCTCTGTTTCTTTTCCTGCAGACTCTAGTGGCAGCAAATCTAGATAGTTTGCCATGGGGATAGTGAATTATCTGCCTGCAAGTTTGTAAGGGTGAAAGTAGTGACTGGACAGCTGCATAATGAAGCCCAAGGCATTAAGATAGGTACTGTACTGTAGGAAGCTGGTGGGATGAGGAGCTGAGTTTAACTGAGTCTCATCTGTGGCCCTTACATGACTATGGATCTTTAGAACAGAAAGATTAGAAAGTGCTGAGGATCCAAAGTGCAATTTTAGTCTTTTCTCTCCTACACAATATTTAGTTTCTGTGGTAATAACAGAGCTAAGATGAGAATGCATAGGTTGCTTTAAGACTGGTACAAAATTAAGGCATTTTAGTGCTTTGGAGTAGTAGAGTTGTCTGGTTTCTTATGTTAAAGATTACATACTAAGTGTTGAGGACTTTTGTCATACATATTGCAGAATGGATATAAGTAGTTAATGAAGAACAATTGGGTTGGCCTGTGATGTAGACTAATATACAGCTTGCTAATTGTTTAATTATAGTGGTAAGCAGAGAAGAAAAATTCTTTTAAATCTCTTTGTGATTCCTTGAAGCTCTGAATCCCTTAATCCCTGCCTGTCGTTTTGCTGATATAAATATTACGAGGCACTTTTTCAGCATTGTCCTTAAGTCCTCAAACTTTTGGAGGTTATCGTGATTCTCTTAGTCTCCTTCAGAAGCATTGTAGGAGTTGTAGCTAGGTGAGCTATGTTGATTACGAGATGAGATGTAATTGGTTGCCAGTGACCGCGTGCAGCTGCTGTCGGGTAATCTCTCTTCAGCCGCAGTTCACATCCACAGTTACTTGGTGGAGGACGTTTGACACCTCGAAGAATTTACATGGTCCCCTGTGTCACTGTAGTTTTCAAGTTGTGTGTTTGTGAATACAGCCCGTAAGGGTCTCAGACTTCCAAACTATATCAAACTATATTCAACTATATCTAATTATGTAATATTTGCTTTTGTTTACTTTATGTAGTTTTGGTGTCATAGCTGATTTTATTAAAGACTCTATGGGTGGTATTGTAAGATGCTTCAGTTGAATAGCTAAGAACACTAAGCTGACTTCTACATTGTATGGGAGCAATTGTGTCCATGGTATTTTTGGCACCTCCCAACACTTCTAGATTGTGCAGGACTGAGGGGTGGGATGGGGGTTGCCTTTGTTCAAGTTTCCAGAGTTCTCGTTCAAGAATTGATCTTTCAGATGTAAAAAATATGGACAATGCAGTATCCTTATGAAGAAGGAGTGTCTGAGGAGGGTGCCTTTTTATTGAAGGGTGTTTTCTAAATCTGATGTAACTTTGAATGTTTTTCTTTATTACTGATCATTTTGACTGGGAGAGAAATACAAATAGTTCCCAGAGAAATTGGCAATTGTTGCAAGTGATGAGTTATAAAGAGAAGAATTGAAGCGGCTGTCAGACATTGAAGAGTACGAAGAGGCGAGGTGATAAAAAATCATGTTAGTGGTTATAAGAGAAATTTTTCTTTATTGCAAACAGTGAATTTCAAATGTTAAACCACCAAATTTGGTAATACTTAAGGGCATGTTCATAATTGATTTCAGTGAAGTCCTGTGGTTAGCTCAGTACATAGCCATCTTCATAAGGGTTACATGGTCCGCCGTTGACAGCCAAGCTTTGAATTTGGCCTTCATTGTTAAAGTTTGGCAGGCTATCATCCTGGTAGGTGACATGCTCCATGAGTCCTTTGTCCTTTTTATTGTGGTAAAGGGGAACAGTAGTGTGCCTGCGGTAGTTGTTAGGAAGGGGCTTCTCAGGTTCCATTTCTGGTGAATTTACTGTCTTGAAATATGAAGACAGCATCCTTTGAAAAAGAACTCCAGCCCAAGGTAGTGAAGAATTTTAACTGCGAAAGAAACTGGATATAGGTAGAGTAAGAAAGAGGAAAAAATTGTGAGGACGGTCAGGAGAAGAAATCATGCAAATAAACATGAAATGTGACACCTTGGGGAGGTGAACTTGGTATGCATTTTTTCATTAAGTATTTCGTAAAGTTACAAATGTATATAGCATACTGTTCTGTAGGGGTTTTATAGCTAAGCTCCCTAGAAATGCTGTACACTATAATATGTGAGGAAATCCTAACCTGCTCTTTGTTTGCTTGTTTTCCTAGTTTTTCTCTTGTGTGCCTTACCATGCAAGAAAAAAACCCCTCCTGTTTTTACTTCTATTGGATTGCTTTAACTGTACGGTTCTACATCTTAGTTTATATGGATTATATAAGGAAAACAGGATAACAATGAGGAAGAAAAAGTAGGAAGAATAATAATTTATGTTGCTTATACCTATGTGCATGTATTATGCAAGTAAGTATGTGCATAGATAGGTTTTGACTGGAAATCTTGGGCCATTCTGTTGAATTTAATGTGTTAGTAATCTGGAGGAGTAAAATTTGGGATATTTAATATTGGAAGCGCATAGTTATTATTTTAGCGGGGGGGAATCACTGATATCAACACTTCAGTATATTTGTGCTAATTAGTTTTTAGTGTATCTATGTATCTTACAAAACAAAATCTCAGAGGGGAGGAGGGTAGCTTTGCAAATACAGTAAAACACTGAGAACTCAGTAAGCTTATTGTTAGAACATAGACACTTATACAGTTTTAAAGATATTTTTTTAAAAAGTTGTTTTATAAAATAGTTTCTTGCACTTTACCTGCTGGCTTTTCAATTTGGTAGATAACATCTGAACTCCAGCAGAGTTTTATAATCCCCACGTGCTTAAATATACTAAATGTTCTTTTTCCATTAAGGTTAATGTTCGTGAAGAAATTGAAGAGTTTTTTCCAAGAATGTGGAAGATAAATCAAGATAAAAGAAGGCTAATGAAAAGTATTAAAGATCAGAAAATTAAAATTGAATGGGGGAAAAAATTGAACAGAAGATTGGTCAGATAGAAGCACTTGAATATTTTTTTAAGGCTATAATGAATTGTTTGAATTGGGGAAGAATACACGAAGTATGAAAAATGAAAAACTCAATGAAGAATGAAGAAAAGTAGAAAGCAAGAGTGAAGTAGAATTAAAAGAATCTGGAAGAATGAATGGGTCCTAGGTTAAGTAAATGTATGGTTTATGTTCCAGTGTCTGTATGATCAAGTTGTAGATGAATTTGCATGATTACTTAGTTAATAGAGAATTGGTGATCTGGTTCAAGCAGGGACCTATTTGAGGCAAGCATACAATATTAACAGTGGGTTAGCAAAATGAAATTTTTTGGAGGGTATTGTCTAACCATTTGTTTTCCAGGAGCAATCAATATAATAGAATTACTGTACTTTAAATGTTAGGAGTTAGGCATTTACACAACCAATACCATTTTTAATACTATCTTTTTTGTTAGGAGTCTCGCTCCCAGTCAAAATCTCCAGCTGGGAGTCCTGCTCGCGTAAAATCAGAGAGCAGGTCAGGATCTCGCAGTCCATCGAGGGCTTCCAAACATTCTGAGTCGCACTCTAGGTCAAGATCAAAATCAAGGTATGTTCAGAAAGTTATTCATGTCAGCTGAGTGTTACTGCTGGTATTTTGGTAGGTTGATGAAGTTTATTTTTACCTGTTGTAAAAATTACAAACTTTTTGGGATGTATTAACAGTTAATTTGCCTGTTTGTGCTCATATAGGTGGACAAAGTTGGGAAATGATTTCATGGGTATGAATAGAGGAAATACTATAAAAGTAGTAATGTAGAAATCACTGCTGAAATATATGGGTTTCTCTCGTCCAGAAGAGAGAGAATGGATTGCGTTTCAATTTTGTGAAGCTCCTGCTTCCTTCTTCTGAAATTGTTTATGGAGGAATTCTTGTGTGGACCTTTCCTTTAAAGGGAAAAACAAAAAAAAAAAAAAGTCAAGTGAGACTGGGTGCAAAGCATCAGGGTTAGACAAAAAGAGTAAGTTGTCTAACTGTTGGAAATACTGGAAAACAGTGTTTGTGAATGTTCCTGACATTCTTTCATTGGAGGCTTTAAAAATATAATCAAAAACTACATCTTAAATTGGGTGTGGATAGGTTCTTTATTTATGAGAGTTGTAAGATTTAAATTAATTTTTCAGTGCTGCACGTCTTCTCTTTCCTTCTCTACCCCCAAGTATGGATGTGTGGAGGTAAAGCTTTATAGCTTTCAGGTCTGATGGAGCTTTCATGGATCAGAAGAGAAATGTGTCAGGCTTTTTTCTCTACGTACACCATAAATATTACCTGGTTTGTTCTGCCCATCTTCTGTGTTCCCTTTTAGCAACATGTTGATGAAAATGGGGAGAGCTACTGAATGTTTCTTCAACAACCATAGGAGAAACCAGGAAACAGCATTTGTAGCACTAGAGCGGAAAGAGGAATAGTCTCATGTTGTTTCTCCTTCCTAGTTCTTGGGAGAGATCAGTAATACGTCTTCTCTATTTATACACTTTGTTCCAGAGCAGCTGAAAGATTTGCCGTGCTCTGAACTGCCAAAGTTCTATTAATGTTACAGGTTCTCTTCTTGAAATGTTTAGCCAGATGATTATTACCTACCTGTTTTAAACAGGTTATTATCAGCAAGACATTTGCAAGGAAGAGTTTTGAGTAGTAGAGCAGATGTTGGGATTTGCTTTATTTTTGTGTGGAGTAATTTTCATGCCTAGACAATCTTTGCCTGTAGATATTGCAGCACTGTAGTCCTGCCAGATATTTCAATTTTTCAGTCAAAACAGTATTTTGCAGTGTGGCACATCTAGTTTCTGTGTCACTGTGTAGTTGTTAGTTAAATAAGCAGCCAAGCTGATGCAAGTTTAAACTCTGAAATTCCTGAAAACTGTTCTGAATACAATCCTTAGTGTATGCCAGAAGTACTCTCCAAGAGTTAAAAGTGGTCCTACCGAGCAGGTGATTAGAGATCCATGCAATCTTTAGGTGTGCAAAGTAGAAAAAGCTTAATGGGTTTAATGCTGTAGACACCATCTAAAAAAAGATTTTTCTCTAGAAAATGTACTGTTTACATTTCAATAAATTATGACCATATGCATTTGACCTGACTGAAGGCTTTCTCTTTGTCGAAGATCCAGGTCCAGAAGGCATTCGCACAGACGTTACACTCGTTCCAGATCCCATTCTCATTCCCATAGGAGACGTTCTCGAAGCAGGTCATACACACCAGAATACCGTCGTCGCAGGAGCCGTAGTCATTCTCCCATGTCCAACAGGAGAAGGCACACTGGCAGCAGAGTATGTCATGATCAAAAAGGCTGAGTATCGACAAAACAATTGCTGCTTGTATCAGTGTAGTCCAGCTTACCTGCAGGCTGAGTTTGACCTGCTGTTTTGTCACTGGAGGGTACAGGAATTGTGTGGGAGTGGGTGTTGTGTGTGGAGCAATCTGTCCTTACAGCTGAGCGCTTACTTCTTGAGCCTGCAGCTAACTGGCAGGGAAGTTGTAGAATTTAATTGAAAAACATTCTATTGCAAGTCAGCATGTGCACGTATGGTGACATGTCAGCTTCAGTCAGCTCTGGAAGTTGAGCTGTTCTGATTCTTTTTTTGTTAAAAAAAAGTGTATGTAACCTTTACAAAAATGAGACCACATCTGTGTGTGCTGGCAACCTGCAAGTATTGATAAGATTGACATAGGGATCCACAGAAGGAAATTCCCAAGTGTTTATTTGCTTGTAGAGCATATGTTGAAGGTTGCTTGTGATTTTGTGCTTCTGATTATTTAATTTGGTTTACCTTGAAGTAAAGCGTTGTGTTATTAGGTAATAAGTAAATCTTAATAGTAGACTAGAAAAACTTACAGTTGTGAAAAGGTGGCACAGTAAGTCTTTCAAAATATAATGAGAAATGTCTCTGTATGAGCAGGAGGAAGTATAGCTACACTAGCCAAAATCCAAAATGCTAATCTTGTCATTCTGAGATTGCTCCCAGTGGCCTTCTTTGTAACAGCAGAATGGTTGGGGTTGAAAATTGGAAAGCAATTTTGCCACTTTTTGTAGAGAGAGCTTGCATACTAGGTTGATGGGAGGCAGTACAAAAACCTAATACAGAAGCTGCCCTCTAGTCCTCCACAATCAGTTTAGACCTTCCAGTGGTGATGTAGTTGTCACTTGGCTCTTAGGGTCTGCAGACTGATCTCAGTATTCTCTTGCTTCGAAAAAACTAACAAGGTTTAAGTGTAAGAGGGATGTTAAAAACATGGAACAGGTATGGATGTGTGGAGGAATTCACCTGAAACAATTATTCAAAAGACAAATTTCATTGTACTTACAGGATTTCAGTAATAAAATTAGTGCAGTTGCCAGTGCCATTGAAATATGGAGTAAAAATTACATATCTTGATGTATATAATTAAAACTTTTCAGTTACAAACTGCCAGGTCTTGTGGTCTTCAGCTATAGTGAGGAATTGCAGAATATTTGTATCTTAAAACAGAAGTTTGAATTTTGACAAATGGAAAGAAAGGAACTTCAAATAGATGAATAGTGCAGGCATCTTATTTTCACAATAGGTTCCTGAACAAATGTGCTGAAAAAAATATGACAGACGATCTAAACCTTTTCAGTGTTTGAATGACGCTGAAAAGCAGGCTCTGGGACATAAACTGTTATGCATAGACGACTTAGCTGAAACTGAAATAAAAATTTCAGCTGTGTCAGCTTCCACTTGTTATTTTGGCAGAAACATTCAATCTCTTTGCTTGTTGCTGGTGTTTTAAATTGCTGCATCTCGTATTAGAGGTGCCAGAGACCTAACTGAAAAATAGGTTGATTTTGATCAAAATAATTCCTGCAGAGGATTTGACATTAGATACGAATTCTCTGGCATGTAAAGAAATTTTGAACCTAAAAGAGAACTTGTGCCTTGTGCTATTACATATTTGACTTTGTCCAGTTGAAGTGAAATTTATTAAGTATCCCACATCATGATAGAGATTGAAGAGTTTTGTGCTAAAGAAATATGCGTGCTTTTGGATTACAGTTTCACAGAACTGGCCTTCAACACTTGCTGCTTTCTAGATGAAAGAATCGGGTGCCTTTCATCCAGTTTACAAGTGGAAAGATTAACTGACAAGTGTAAATATTGACTTTCAGTATATTGGATAGGAAATGCTGAGGTGGAGGAAGTTTCAGTAGAAGGTAGATTATAGTTAAGTTGTCTGTGCTTAGGAGCTCAAGTGCTCACATGTAGTGTGGGCAGCTGGAGGCAGTGTGCACTCTAGTGCCTGTGATGACCATGCAAAAGGGCTGAAGGTGGGAGTTCAGGCTGGCCGGCCTGTTCTCAGCACAGGTTTGTGTGTGGTGCCTGCCTCTTGTTGGTAACTTCAGTATGAAATACTAATAGCATGGGTTACTCCTGTTCTGTAGCTTTTTTGTAAATCAGAATGCTAAATTTTGTCAACTGAGTTTTTTACCAATATGAGAAATTTGTCTTGGTCTTTTTTCTAAAATTAAACCCATTGAAAGTAGTTGCTTTTTGAAACAATCTTACAATTAGAATGGTAACTGTTAAAAGTGTTAAACTGTGTATTACCTGTTTAGTTTTCTTCAGATTAAATTTTTTATAATTATAATTTTTTGCTATAAGAATATTCAATTTTTGCTTTTTTTAAAACAGAAAATTAATTGGAGTTGAACATTTGTGTTACCAGGCTAATCCAGATCCCAATACCTGTCTTGGAGTGTTTGGTCTCAGTTTGTACACTACTGAGAGAGATTTGCGTGAAGTCTTCTCGCGTTACGGGCCTCTGACTGGTGTCAATGTGGTTTACGATCAACGGACTGGGCGCTCAAGAGGATTTGCTTTCGTGTATTTTGAGAGAATTGATGACTCTAAAGAGGTAAATGCATGCTTTGCTACTTTTTTCAGGTGTGCTCTTGATGCATTATCTTCTTTAACTGCCTGTAAAAAAAGACAAGTTTTTGAGTGTGTATTCACGTGCAGATTCTCACACTGAGATTAATTTTAAATGCTTTGTTCAAGCAATGCAGCACTTCTAAACAAATGAAGCATTTGAGTTCAGTGTTCAGGTGCATGGGCAGATTTTGAGCATAAGCTGTCTGTATTAAATCGCCAATAAGCACTGGACTTCGATTTTAATCTGTTACTTCAAAATGCAAATCTTTAATGCTCCTATGTCGAAAGTATTTTTGAAACATTTTGGAAGTTAAAGTTTTAAGTTGTTTTCTGGATGAAAATTCTGGAGATTCCCTGTGTATTTTCCCCCCTTTTAGGCATGTCATTGTACATTTGAAAGAGTGGGGTTTGTCTTGATTTGTGCCTTGCCTGGAGATTCCCTGTGTATTTTCCCCCCTTTTAGGCATGTCATTGTACATTTGAAAAAGAGTGGGGCTTGTCTTGATTTGTGCCTTGGTCCATTGCTTTCCTGGTTGTTTAACAGATAGCTGTTAATAGTTAGACTGAGTTGTTAGTATAATTGATCTGTAAGGAGAGAATCAAAGAATATGAACAGCAGCCTGTGTTATGATTCACCACAATCTACAATAAGCAGTAGTTTTTTTACCCCTGTAATGATACCGTGAACTTTACCACATATACTGAAATTCATAGATAAAGTTGCTATTAAAAGTAAAGACACCCTCTAAAATAATCTTTAAGCCTGCATTGTGTGCATCTCTTTCTTTAAGACAGAGTCACAGACTTCATCTTGTTTATGGATTAATAGGTTTGGGCAGATGTGCTGTGTGCATTTGCTAAGTTTTATTTATAAGGAGATACTAAATGCGACTCCTCTCTTTATAGATCATTTAGTATTGAAGGCAGGGAGGATGACAGCTCTGGAACCTATCAGGAGCTGAAAAATAAGAATGCTGATGCTACTTGATGATATTTAAAAGAAAAAACTTTTATTTGGATTACTTGACTGAACTAAGTTCTTGTGTTTGACTTCTGGTATGATCCAACTGAGAATCCGTTTATGGGAAGAGTAGTCTTGTAGATGTATATATGTGTGGTTATTGCAAGTTATAGAGGTAAGTAAAAGGACACAAAACTTCCTTTAGTGTCCCTTCTGTATTCTCCTGCAGTCTCAGTTGGAGAGGCTGGTAGAGAGGTTAATGGGGTGGATAGCTGTATATCCATCTGTCTTTAATGGCCTGCTCTGTTCTAACTTCTGGCTTTGTATTTCTTTGCACACTGAATATGTTGGGATTTTGAAACAGCCAAAAAAGTGGCTGTTTTGTAAAACATTTCACATCTGAAATATTTGCACAGTATTCCTTGGCACATTCATATACCAGTCTTGTCTGTTTTGCAGCTTCATATGTCTTTAGAGGTAGGTTTTTTCTCTGGTTGCCACGGGCAATGGTCATGTGTGATACCATGCATTTCTTAAAATGTTCTGTGTAAATAGCATGAAGTAATTCATTTAGTATAAAGCTGTTTGGCAGATGCTATGAAACTGGAATGCAAAGGAAAACAAAAAGGGATGTTACTTCCATTCGGAAATACAGAAGTAAAGATTAGGGCCTTAAGCAGGAACTGAAATAATTTGGAATGTAATTAAACCCATTTTTCTTTTCTCCAATGGATTGGTGCCTGAAGAGGGGGAAAGGATGCAAACTCTCCCAACACCTGGAATTCAAATAACTGAAATACTTTGGCAAGAAGGACAGAAGCAAAGCTTGTTTATTTTACTTATTTCATGAGCCTTGAGGACAGATGTGAAGATGGCAATAAGTGGCAGCTGGTGTAGTAAAAGGGGAGATATATAAATATAGGTACATAGACAGATAGCTGTAGGTGTGAAATTTTGTGACAGGCCCTGTAGGAGAACACTGAAGGAAACTTAGAAATTCTGTATGTGGAAGATAGTCTGAAAGATTGCGTGTGTATAAAAGCAATGATACTTGAATTACTTCTGTTCTGAATAATTAACTCCTCTGAAAAAAAGAGTAATTTCAAAAACTCCAGCCAACCAAAAACAGTAACCAGAATCCCAAACCTCCAATATCCTAAACATCTAAATAATAAGCTGGTATGTTGAACTAAATTCCGGCCCTTTTAAAGAAAGATGGATTAAATGAGAGTAGAACTCTAGAGAAAAAGGTGGATTTTTCATAGTCTTTACTATTGCCCTTCAGGAGGGCTAGCATAGGGAAGCTTCTCAGCAGACATGCTCTGAAATACAGCTAATACTAAAATTTTACATCAAATTATTTGTGAGTAGTTATATTTAAACTTTCTTAACTTAAAGATTAATCACTGTCAGTTGTGCGTGGATTCTTGGGCAGGTAAAATCCCTCAGGTTGTCATCCCTGTTACCACTTTTACAAACTGGATCATTTATTGAACTAGTTAAAATGTTGCTATGAGTCTTGATTTTGAAACCAAGTTGTGCAGTGTCCATATGGTGGTAAAGACATTTTAAGTTGTCAACTAAATCAATGTATTGGAGCACCAAAGACAATGTAAAATAGCATTTCTTAAAGGTGATACTTCTCAGTGTCCTAAAAATACAGAATGGGCATTTTACTTAAACTGTTTTAGAATTTCAGAATTTCAGCTTGTGACACCATAGCAGCCTTGTTGGTAGCTGTTCATGAGCATCTTTATTATAAAGAGGAACAGAAGCTTAGCTTTTGATAACTACTACACAGAGAAGCTGCCAAAGCATCACAGTAGCTTCAGACATTCCAATATAACAGGACTGAGAAAGAAGTTTTCAAAGCATGTGTCCAGTCCAGGAGATTTCTTGTAGGATATGTTCTATTCTGTTTGAAACTCTGCCAAGGTTAAGATGAAACTTCATGATCAGACAGAAGGTTCCTTTTCCATCAGATGTCTTTTATTGCAGTGGTACAGTGTTTGCAAAATAACACTCGTTTGAATTCTTAGGTTTTGATCCTTACTGAAGATGCTCATGGACACTGTCTTTAGTTCAAAGTGTGATAGCAGACAGTAAATGTCAAGGACTGATGGGTGTCTAGGAAACAACTGTTGAATGTCTAATGATTGTATGGAAACCTGAGGATTTGCTGGGCCAGTGTTCTTGTCTTTCAGCTTGTTGAAAACCTGTTTGAGAAGCTTCTGTCATTATGTACCTGTTTTTAGAATGGGTATAGTGGGTTTCATTTATTGTGAAGTTGTTTTATTTCAAGAAGTTGTTGGGTTTTTAAAAATACTTGGTGCTGCTTTTTTGCCTTGGGTGGTGCAGTGTTTTGTCTTGGCCACTCTTTTCCAAGTCCTCAGAATGTGCAAGTCCTTTGCATGTGCAACATGCAAAGGGCAATATCTGTAAACATCTGTTCAAGACTCGTTTCTCACACTCTGTTACCTAGTTCTCAGTATTGGCAACACTGGCATGCAGCCAGCGTTGTAATGTTGTTTTGCAATGTTTTCACTAAATTATAGAGGATATTTATCAGCCCATCACATAAGGATATTCCTCCTGTGTTTAAGAGGATTACAAACTTCTATGTACTAGGATGAGAAAAAAATAAGGTTGATGGGGGAGGAATTGATTGTGTCAGGGTCTTACTTAACAGTAAATTGAGATAATCATGAGTGAAAAGTGCTGGCTGTTCTAGCGGCGTGGTTCTTACTACAGTTACCAGGGATGTCATATGCTGCTAAACCAACTTTTCAGTAGCTCAGACTGTGAAGTGTTAGTTGTTTAAACTGAGGCTACTGTGAATGTACTGTCTGTAGGAGGAACTCATCTAAGAAGCATCAGCTACAGCAGCTGTTGGCAATATGGAATTTTCTAATGCTAGTTAGATGTTGTTCTTCAAAAAGTTTTGAGTATCTTTCCAGAACCGTTTTCTTAAGTGCTGTTGATTAACAATCAACACAAACCAGTAACATCATTTAATTGCCAAAGACCAAAATAATAATGGACTTTATTAGTTCAGCTTGAAAAACATATAATCTGTGGTGCAAGCAGACTTGCTTAGAACCAATGTTATTGAACAAAACTCCCATGGCTTGTTGAAGAAATGTTTAAGTATTGTTCATGGTATCAAAAACAACCCCTGATATACCAGAAAAGAGCACTAGAACGTCTCAAATGTTTGGAATTACAAGTTACAGACTTCTGGAAAATCTGAAATACCATGGAATTGCTAATACTTGCAGGGACATCCAGTTCTTCATTCTGGTTCTCTAAAATCCTGTATTTCTTGACTCTGAAGCTCTAAAGTATGCTTTAAAGATAATACATTGAATCAATCAATGCTGAAGGTCATAATTGTATATGTTTAAACATAATCATTGAAATCTCAGACTAGAGAATGTAAAATGAATGTTGTTCAAAAGTGAAATGGACACTTGAATTGAGCTTGGCAGACTGCAGCAAGTGTAAAAAGATGAGTTTCTTTATTAATTCCATCAGTTTGGGATTTTTTTCAGAATTTTTTTCAGTTGTCCTCAGTAAATCCAGAACTGAATGAGTAATCAATTACTGGAGGGGGGGGAATTTAATCCATTGTGTCTTTCATCCCTTGCTGTACCTGTGATGGAATGGAGATGATGTTTTTCTCAGCGTCGTTAAATGCAGTAGAGAACTTCTGGTAAAAAACTAACAAAGAAACCCCAAAAACTGCAGTGAGGAAAAGAAAAGGCAGTACCTTGTGCAGTTATTTTTAAATTGTGAGAACACATTTTCAAAATAAGTCACAATATAAACTGCTTGTGCTTGACTGTTTAGGCATATTCAGTCTCTATGTGTCTAACTTTGTAGTGATGGAAAGTTATTGAAATAGTTATCCAGACTGAAAGTCTTTAATTTTTTTAGTGAATTCTCAGATTAACTAATACCAGCCACCCATGTAAGTTTATGCATTTAATTAAAAGTTGTGTTTCCAAACTTTTTACTCTATCTGCCTAATTGGTCATACATGCAGAAAACATTACATACTGCATTAAATATCAAATGACATTGAAATCTTTCTTAAATTTATTGCTTTCTGACTTTTTTGAGCCACTGGAGATGACACTGTAGTGCAGGAACTGCTCATTTTCTCAAACTAACACCTTATAGATAATCAGTTTTCTTATTATGGATAGTCTGCTGAAGGTTTAAAACCCCAAAATTTTAAAAACTTGATCCAAGATTGAACCTATGCCATTCCCAGTCCTAGTTCTGTTTTCTGACTGCAAACATATAGGTGTATATTCTAGCCTACAAAAATCAAGTTTTCCATAGAATTTGCTACTAGAATTGTTATTGTATGTTTATAGGAATGCTGTGTTCTTGCTTACTGTCCTCTTGCAAAAGCCATGCAAGTCTTTTAATGGCATTCAGATATTTGAAAAATAATCCAGGCTGCAATAAAAATAGATTGTTGATTGTTAAAGACTCCTAAGAGGGCGCTGTGTGTCTTAAACCCAATATTACTTGATTTTTTTCTTCTTAAAGTTTCATTTCATCATCTTAAACAGTATTTGAGAATGTCTTCAGCATTTTTAGAGAGAATTTGCAATTTTTTCTCTTTGACACTTAAATATTCTTAACACGGCAGTCATGCATACCCAAAACCATCAAGAAAAGGAAACTGAAATTTGTTTTCAATATGGCATGCAGTTAGACTGTAAAATCCAAAATTTTCTTGTAAACTACTTTAGCTTTAAATAAAGCACAGAATTGCCAGTGATTAGGATCACTTAAATATTTTTACGGCCTTCATACAAAATAAATGCTGTTTATCAGTTACATGAACACAGGTTTTCAGAGAGAGCTTTTTGTCATCTTGCAGCAGTCCTTACCTAAAAATGTCAGCTTAAGTACTTTGCTTCAATGACCTGAGGTGTGAAGTTAAGAGTGGTGCGGAGAATCTTCTCTTTAGAAGCAATTTCCAGTTGCTAATTACTGAATGTGAATGATCCATGCTATTAATTGTTGTAGATTTTGGCTTTCCTGTGTTTGGGGATGCAGTCAGAACTATAAGAGGCTTTGTTGTTTTTGTCTATCTATTAAAGATGTTCTCTATTTTACAAAATTTTAGTTGGCAATTATTCCTGACAGCTCTTAAAATAAAATGTTTTAATATTTGGTAGGACATTAGAAATTATGACCAGGGTGTCAGGAGTTCTGTGCAGTCTGCTAACCGTGATCTTTATCCACTGAAATGTAATACATTTCCTGGTATTTCTAAAACAAACAGGCAACTCTCAAAATTAATTCTTCATTTCTCTTACTGGTATGTTGATCTTCTCTATACTGCTCCCTCTGTCAAAGAATTCTTCCTCTGGAAGAGGTGTTTGTTGGCGTAACTAAATAAGACAAACATGCCAGATGTTCTGGATTTGAGGTGGCTTCTTGTCAGCTAAGCTTATTATTCTGTAAGTTGTTGACTGGAATTGAAAATGCCATGCAGCAGAAAATTTCTTACAATTTAACTTGCTGCATTTCCAGAAAGGTGTGTTTCATCATGAAGGTAATTTTTTAGCCAGATATTTACAGCCTTCATTGTTAGGCTTGTGCACACATACTTTCCTAGGATGCATGCACAGATTTATTTTCATTTACATCATCCTTGTGGGGGAAAAAAAAAAAAAGATGTCAAGGCTAGAAGGCTAAAGCTGAGGAATGTGTTTTAGTCACAAAATGTACCTGAGTGTATGTCGAAAGACTGGGAGTGCTCTTTGCTTGCCTTGCAGTTGGCTAAATGTGGTTAGTTTTGTACAGGAACACAAATCACTAGGTGGCGATATAGTATGGACACAAACAGCATTACTAAAATACAAACTCACGCTCAATAAATTCATCCATGATCATCAGTCACCTCCAGTTTGGACACAACAGTTAAATCATATGGATATCAGGTTTCTGTATCTCCTTTACGATTTGTATGTAAGTTCAGTAAGGCTCTTGTTAGCGCTGAGATTTTTGAACAAATGTTTCATTATTAAAAAGAAGAAAAAAAATTTCTCTGCTTAGAGCCACCTTCATGTTTTGAAGTTGTGTATTGTGTTTTGCAGATAAAAAAATAGCAAGGTGGCTGTGTTCTTTAACTCAAGATTGTAAGAGTGTCTCTTCTCCAGACATGAAAAATTAAAATAATGTGTATTGGACTAAGTGTTGTGCTTAGTGTTGAGAAGTAAGTAGTGTGTATTGGTATTTTAGGGATTCTCTAGCAGAAAACAAAAGCTATTAAAATTCAAAAAGCATATTTTCAAAAAAATCCTTGAAAGTCCATCATTAGCTGTTAAAATGAACCGTTGTGGATTTGTTGGGGTTTGGGTTTTTAGGTTACTTTTGAATGACTGTGAATCTCAAAAGTACATTGTGCTCCTTTGAATAACTTACTTTGATGGTTTGAGTTTGTGAAAGGCCATTGTATTGATTCTCAGAGTGGAGAAGCTGGGGCTGGAACACCCAGCGAGTGCGCGCAGGGGCTGCGGGCAGTTCTGAAGGCACGGGCGTCTGAGCGCAGACCCTTGTGTGTATCACTTAAGCGAGCTGCTATTGTGAGAGGGAGTGGGGAGGAAGGTTGTAATTAGGTATCCATGTAGGCTGAACCCGCCATTTTACTAAGCTCTGCTGAAGTAGGTCCTTGTAAGGGAGATGGCAGGAGGCTGGGAGAGCATGAAATGGCAGCCGACGAGCAGTAATCCGGCCATGTGCACCCTACAGGAAGCCACTGTTTTGCACAGCTTTTGAATCCGCCCGTCCCCTCTGGGTCAGAGACGGCGGTAGGAAGGATGCAGTTTTCAGAAAAAAGCTGGTTTGACTTTCAGTTTACCTTTCAGATGGGTAGAAGATAAAGTCTAGGGAGAGTGGCAGTGTTAGTGGTTAGCCTGTGCTCCCTTAAGAAGGGATTGAGAGTCGCATTAGTTCGGCGCCCCAGTGCAGTCCTGTAACACCACCGGCAGACAGGCATGGGGACAGGAGATGAGCCAGTCGCCACAGTGGGGCACTAGTAACCAGTCTAAACAAGACAAGTTCCGGGCTTGTTTTTCTGGTGGAAAATAATGTGTTTGTACATAGCCTTCCATAGTTACCAGTGGTTGCGGATTTCACATCCCTGTTCCTTGTCTCTCCTGCAGGCGATGGAGCATGCAAATGGCATGGAGCTGGATGGCAGGAGGATTCGAGTGGATTATTCAATCACCAAAAGAGCACATACACCCACCCCAGGCATCTACATGGGCAGACCAACACAGTAAGTTCAGTGGATTTAAACTGAATGCTGGATTCTGGTTGAAGAAATTACTAGCATAAAGAATGCAGTACTGTGGTTCACGTACACTTTTAAATCCTACTGTTGTTTATTGTATCTTTATTTATAAAAATATTGAAGGACCTGTTAATAAAAAATAATACCTAGCATGATCAATTAATTTATCCTTAGCCTGTTGAAATACTAAGGTGCCCATTTGCCTTTGATTTTGTTGAGAATTAGGGTCAAATCCTTCATTGTTCTGGGAATTTTGAAGGTGTTTTTATTTAAACATTTTGTCTATTTTTGTGATACAGTCTTAGGTGTCATACTTACAACAAGACTACTTTAAAAAAAGATTTAAAATAATTTATATTTACTTTGTATCTAATGATTTAACTCAAGATGAAGACTAGATATATAAAGGGGGTTTTGTTTTTGGTTTTTTCTTTTCCCCTAATAGCAGTGGAGGAGGTGGTGGCGGTGGAGCGGGTCGTCGCCGGGACTCATATTATGATAGGGGGTACGACAGAGGATATGACAGATACGAAGAATATGACTACAGATACAGGTACCTTATCTTTATTTCATTTCTGTAACAGTGGATTTGTTGATTTGTTGGAAAGTTAGATGATAAAACATATTATTCAGTTTGTAGCAATATTCTGCATGCATGCCTGTTATGTGTTAGAGCCTCATTCCCTTTACTATTTTTGTGATACAGTCTTAGGTGTCTGACTTACAACAAGACTACTTTAAAAAAAGATTTAAAATAATTTATATTTACTTTGTATCTAATGATTTAACTCAAGATGAAGACTAGATATATAAAGGGGGTTTTGTTTTTGGTTTTTTCTTTTCCCCTAATAGCAGTGGAGGAGGTGGTGGCGGTGGAGCGGGTCGTCGCCGGGACTCATATTATGATAGGGGGTACGACAGAGGATATGACAGATACGAAGAATATGACTACAGATACAGGTACCTTATCTTTATTTCATTTCTGTAACAGTGGATTTGTTGATTTGTTGGAAAGTTAGATGATAAAACATATTATTCAGTTTGTAGCAATATTCTGCATGCATGCCTGTTATGTGTTAGAGCCTCATTCCCTTTAGGTTTTATGGGATTGAAGTAGTCAGAATCTTCAGTGTTTATGTAACGTGGTTTTTCTGTGGGGCAAGGGGTTAATTTTGCTATGTGAAGGAGGTGTAGAGCATGTATCCCAGGAATCAAGTGGACAGATAAAAAGGGAACTCATTTTTCTATGCTGTATATAGAACCAGGGACAGCTGATACACACTGCTGTTTAAAAAGGGATTATTTGTAGATGGGATTTTTAATGCTTGACATTTCATAACCATCTTGCTGTTTTGAAAGTTATCTGGTTTCAGAGAATGTTGTTCAACAAGAATTGTAGGCATCTGGAAAAGCACTTCATGTGTTTGTAAGGCTAGTGAGAGTTTATTAAATTCTTTGTCTGCGAATATCTTAGACTTTAAATACATCAAATAGAGAAATATAAAAGCATTTGTTAAGTAACCATAAGCCACAGCCAAATAAAGCAGAAATCATTCATGCAGGCCAAGTCTTTCAGTGCTAAGGAAGTGGTTCTGTTCTGTAGAAGTGATGTGAATAAGGCTTCTTTCATAATGGATGTTGTTTGGTTTCTTTTTTAATTTCCTTTAAAGGAGACGATCACCATCGCCTTATTATAGTCGATACCGATCGCGATCAAGATCCCGTTCCTATAGTCCAAGTAAGTAAATACAAGTGAATAAACAGAATCTGGCTGACACAAACATTGTTATATGAATTGATCAGTGAGGATTCTGAATGTGAAAGCAAAAAAAGCTGGGCACAGTTAAGTTGAGATAATGTGTACAGTTAGTTCATGATTGTGTAATTAGTAATTGTGTCATCTTTTGTGTTTTCCAGGGCGCTACTGAAGATCAGAAGAGTTACAGTTGAGGACTTGATTTTTAAATACAAAGTTCAGATCTTTAGCATCCCTACTGCTTTCCCTTCCATCTTCCCTTTCTTGTCCTCCTTCCAGCTCTTTCTTTTGAAAAGTCTTTGGTTCATTTAGGATATACATATTTTCAGTTGAAGTATTCCCATTTTCCATCCCTTCTTATTGTAATACTCTTAAATATTGTAATTGTTGTAGTTTTTGTGTAGTAAAACATCTTGAGCAAAAAAATAGAGAACCCCAAAGTGCTGATACATTTTGGAAGTCATTCCTATTTTATTTCTAAAACAGTTGGACTCCTGACTAATCAGAAGAGAACATTGATATTTTTAAAGCTTGCATGTCATATGTAGTATACACACTCGGATACTTTAACATAAACCTGCATTTCCAAGTAACTTGTTAATCTTTCTGTTAAAATGTTTACCTATTACTTTGATAAACAAGTAATGACTTTTGAGTCTTTTCTGTAATGATGAATTTGCTTAGATAGTCATGAACCAGAGGATTTTTTAATTTTTTTTTTTTTTTTTTTTTTTTGTCAAGTAGTTGCTTTGAAAGTAGACTATTTGAGCTAGATCAGAGTTTGGTATTTGACTGACTGGGAGAATAGATCCTTGTACACTCGAAATTAAGGCTGTGTGTTTTATAGAAAAAAGTTTCTGGATTGCTACACAGTGGATAACAGTTGAAATTAAAATTGTTAAATTTCTGGAGTCTTTGTGGTACTTCATTGAATATTTCCCCTTAATTGGTGCAGGAGAAAAAATATTTATTGAACATAGCAATTAGTTATATAATTTGCTGTTCATGAAATAAAAGATGGCCAACTTTTTGGTATTAAAATAATGATGGAGCAAGTTTTGTTTCCAGTCCTTTTTGAACTTCTGGAAGTATAGATAGAAAAACCTATAGCTACATGTAAACCTTTTTTTCCCTCAATAAAAGTTAAGTCCACTGATAATGTGGTTTCTTGTCTTTCATTCTGCGTTTTGTGTCACTTTGGTTAAACAATACTTGATACTGGGGTGTGGATGATAAAGTCAGCTTTTACCTGTCTTTTCAGGAGCCTTGTCTTCCCTGAGAATCAGTATGTTGGATCATATGGGATGGCTAAGCAGCTTTCTCTTGTGCCATCTTTGTCACTTGCTGGAGTTGTGGTGAGATGGTCGAATAAGAGAAACGTTGTTGACTTTCTTCAGTTTTGTGGCAAGTGGCTGGTTGAACGTTGATGTTGCCACAGGAAGAGGAATACAGCCACAAAGCCCTTGCAGCAGATTTTCATCCTGATTGTCAGGGAAGGCCAGCAAAAGAGTTTGTCATGATTTTAACAGAGTTAAGTGTGTAAAGTGTAATTGCATTAGCTGTTTCTGAGTGCTGGTGCCAGGAACTATTAACAAGTAGTTAAAAGAAACACCAGCACACATCTTAAAAGCCTGATAGAATATGCCAGGAGAAATTGGTGACAAAACAAATTCTAACTGTTCAATACCATGAACAAATTGTTGTTCAATACCTTTGAATCCATGATGTCTTACCATAAATTGCAGTTGAAAATTCTTAGTAAATTGAAAGCAGAATAGCTGAAACACTGAAGCCAAATCTTTCAACTCTGATGAATTTACCAGTATTTATGGTGATCCGGACAAGTTAGAAAATGTTGGGAAAATTGTTCTCTCTAAACCGAAGTCCCAATATCTCAAGATAAAAAACTATTGGTATATTTAATTTTGGTTTTCTTTCAAAACATGGTTAGCCAGTGTGACACTGCAAGGAGGATCCAGGGAGCTACAGGCCTATTGGCCCAGGATGGTCATGGGGCAGCTATCTTGAGTGCCATCACACATACTGGACAACCAAGGGATCAGGCGCTACCAGCATGGGTTTAGGAAAGGCAAGTCCTGCCTGACTAACCTGATCTCATCCCATGACCCAGTGACCCACTTACTGGGAGAGGGAAAGGCTGTGGATCTTGTCTACCTGGACTGCAGCAAGGCCTTTGAACGGTACTGTCTCCCACGGCCTTCTCCTGGAAAAGCTGGCAGTCCCATGGTTTGGGACTCTTTGCTGAGTAAAAAGCCAGTCTGGATATCTGGCCCCACAGGGTGGAGGGGAATGATGCCACATCCAGCTGTTGGCCAGTCCCAAGAGGTTCTCCAAGGCTCAGCACTGGGTCCCATCCTGTCCATGTCTTTTATCAGTGACCTGGATGAGGGGATTGAGTGCACCCTCAGCAATCTCACAGGTGATGGCAAGGTGGGTGGGAGCACTGATCTGCAGGAGGGTAGGAAGGTTCTGCAGAGGAGTCTGGACAGGCTGGATCGATGGGCTGAGGTTCAGTAAGGTAAAGTGCCAAGTCCTGCACTTGGGTCACAGCGACCCCAGACAGTGCTACAGGCTGGGGGCAGAGTGGCTGAAAGCTGCCTGGCAGGAAAGGACCTGGGGATGCTGGTCCACAAGCTGGCTGAGCATGGGCCAGGAGTGAGCCCAGGTGCCCAAGAAGGCCAGCAGCAGCCTGATCAAGGAAAATGTGGCCAGCAAGATCAGTGATTGTTCTGCTCTACTCAGCTCTGGAGGGCCACACCTCGAATCTTGTGTCCAGTTTTGGGCTTGTGAGCTCAAGAAAGACCTTGGGGTGCTGGAGTGTGTTCAGAGAAGGACAACGGAGCTGAGGAGGGTCTGGAGCACAAGTCCTCTGTGGAATGTCAGAGGGAGCTGAGGGGGTTTAGCCTGGAGAAAAGAAGGCTCAGGGGTGACTGCATCGTTCTACAAGTTCCTGACTGAGGCTGTAGAGAACCGAGGGTTAGTCTCCTCTTCCAGACAATACAACAAGAGGACCACAGCCTCAAGCTGTGCCTCTGGAGATTCAGGTCAGACATTCTGATCTCTTGACAGAAAGGGTTAAACGTTGGAATGGATTCCCTGCCCAGGGATGTGGTGGAGTCACCATCCCTGAAGGTGCTGTGTTCCAGTGTGGCACTTAGTGCCAAGGTGGTGATTGGTCAGAGGTTGGACTTGATCTCAGAGGTCTTTTCCAGCCTGGATCATTCTGTATGGATTATGAAACGGTGTGTAGAAACAGTGAGGCAGCCAGATGCAAAGGCACGGGGAGTAGCTGCAGTGCGGGTTGAGGGAGGCATTCAGGCTCAGGGAACTGGGATAACGAAGTGAGAGAGAGGTGGCTACTTTCTGCAGTTTATAGTATTTGTGGCCTGTAAATGTCCAGGCTTGAGAAGCTGTATTTGCCAGCTGGGGAGCAGTTCAGCAAATATGTTGCCTAGAAGCCAGAGGAGTGTTGCGATACTTAGCTCGGCGATTGTATCTTCCAACAGATAGATCTGTGGACCTAAACGTCCTATTTATTAGCACAAGTCCATATAAAGCTATCAGTGATAGCAGCATTGTATTACATGGTTCATTTTGTGCTTCATGTTGAGTGATGTAAGGCAGTCCACTTGACGAACAGGTGAGAGTGGTAATTCTTACTGTCCTGGACATACTTGTCTGAAATGTATGAATAATTGCTGCACTTAATTGGCCACCTCTAAAACTGGCAGTCCTGAAAAGGAAAGGGTCATTTGCAGCTGTTTCCTCATTTGTGGGTGGGGTTTTTTGGTTGGTTGGTTTGTTAGTTGGTTGGGGTTTTTTAACTGAGATCACTTGGGCAGAGATCTCTGGGTTAGCAGGGTTTTTTTTTTTTAACTTTTGTGGCTTGCATTCTCCCCAGGAATGGCAGTGTCATCTCTGCTTTGTTGTGAATGGATTTAGGAACATGGTTTCTTTAAGCTCCAGGTTCTATATATGAAGTCAATTAGCCAAATTTTTACACTGTTTCTGCAAACACAGCTACTGAAACACACATACTTTTCTCTAGACATTTTTGTACTTCTTGTCCTAGGTGAATTATTAGTGTAGTGAGAACTCTGAACAAATACTACACTTTTAGAACAGAGTGACAACAAGTCAACCTAAGTAAAAAACCTTGATGTTACTCTGTGCTAGTACACAAGAAGCTGAAGTTCACAATGAGCTGCAGGGAATATTTAAATACTGACTTTAGGCAAACCTGACGTTTATCTGGGTTTATGTATAGCCTCAGTTCTAGGCGTAGCCTAGAGAATGCAAGATAACACTTGCTCTTAAATATGCTGTGTTCCCAAATGCTTCCGAGAAGTGGCCACAAGAAGTTCACAACAGCTGCTACCCAGGCCACTCCGAGACTGTGTATGTAATGGAAAATTTGCACCCGATGGCAACAGTTAAGAGACATACTGGTTCACATGTGGAGACAGAATACCTTCCAAGAGGGGGTGTGTGTATAAAGACAATGTACATAAGAGGAAGTTCATCAAGACTGTTGTTTAGTCATTTGTCCTGTGTAACCATACTCCAAATCTGTAATGACATTAAGACTTGGTATTGCAGTACTCAGCAAAGCATTTGGCTGTGGTACTGCATGATGTGGAAATGGTGGGGCCCAGGCAGCTAGAGCATGCTTTTTGGGAAAGCACCTTCTGCTGCATGGCTTCACGAAGTAACAGGTCAGGCAGACTTAGTGTGACCACTGCCACCCTTTACTATCAGTCCACTTAGCTGCTGCAGTCCTCTAGAGCTAATGTGAATAACCAGAGAAGGAAAACAATCTGGGATAAACGTTTTCTATTGCTTTCTACAAAAGCAATTTGGTTTTTTGGCTGGGCAAATGATGTGAATGAATTCCCCTCATTCTCGCAGTCACTGCCCTTGCCTTTTAAAGAGTAGCATAAAGGAGAACACAAAATGCACTTAAGCCACCTCATCTGCAGTGCCTGTAGACAGTTTCTTGCTTGCTGACATTTTACTTCTGCATAAAATCTTTCAGGTAGCACTGCATCTGTACATAGACGGGTAGGGACTGTTAGGTTCAGCAGAGGGATGTTTTTCTGTCTTTCATACACTTGTATTTGTAAATACAACACTTTGATCAAGTAAAGGTAGAAAACAATTTGCCTTAAGTAGGTCAGTATGTCCAGAGAGCACAAAAAATACCACCATCACGCTTTCTCAGTTTGAGGTATCTTGTTATTAAATTGGAACAAATAAACCCTAATACTTTTCCTTCTCTTGCTTTAGATACAGAAGTTGAAACGTTCATTAAAACTGGCAGATACAATAATGGCCTTAGAAAGGCTACAAGCCACTTCAGTGGGTCTGTTGCTGAATTTCCTGAGGAATTGAGAGACCACCTTACACAGAATGATTTCTTAACCTTTGTAGTAGCAACTGAGGTTACATTTTTGATATCTAATGGTAGATCTCTTTCACATTCAAATAGCAACTAAATTGTTTTGGCAAAACATGAAAGATCTTTGTCAACAAACGTCTGCAAACCTTTCTTTAAGTCTATGTGCAAGTGCTATGGTGGAAATAATTGTCCCACTGTGCAAAAGGCTAGTGATGCTTCCTGTGTAAGATTATTTTTTAAGCTTAAAATGTAGTTGTTTCTCTGTCCCTCCCCTTTTCTCTTTTTCCTTTGTTCCTGGTGGAGCCTTGCAACTGGGAAGGTATCTGATATATTAGGGATCAAGAATGGAGAGCTGTGGTTACCAAGAGCCAATGTTGATGTAGCAGTTCCACCAGCTCTGATCTGTGATTGCACCCTTGCTCTTCTTCCACTACTGCATTAGGACAAGGATGCACTCTGCACAGCATCTCAAGTTCAGTAATTTAGAATCTGCCAAAATTTCCAAGCTCAATTTTCTCATGCTGAACCAGTCCCATAATACTTGGATAATAGCAGCAATGATAAGCAGCACAGGCACAAGGTAATTTTCCACCATGCTTCCTTGTCTTTCAGTGTTTACCCCAAAGAAAAGTACAGACAGAGAACTCCTCAAGTAGCTTTCAGGTGTATCACAGGGGCTTGCACAGAGCTTTATATTTGTTTTAAAATAAAATTATAAACTAACTGGGGTAGAACAG